TGGATTTTGATGAGCGGCGGATTTCCACCACTAGTCCTGCAAGAGTGGCGCCGCCGCCGCCGCCGAGGAGGGTTGGTGTTAATGAGCAAGTTGCTGTTGTTGTTCAGAAGCGGCGGTCCGGTAGTCTTTTGGGGTGTAAAAGTGAGAAAGCTGTGAGAGTTGCGGAGGATAATAGTAATGGTCGGAAGATTAGTGGTAAGGTGAATTTCAATTCCAGCTCGTCGTCGGTGTCGGTGTCGGTGCCGGTGTCGGTGCCGGTGTCGGTGAATAGATTGGAAGATGAGACGAGGGTTAGGAGTTTTAGTTTTAGATCACAAGCGCCGCAACCGTTGCTGCCATCGTCACATCATGCTCTTGCTACACGCTCGCTTCCTCGCCCTTATTCGCCTCGGCTTTCGAATATAACTTTCAATATACAATAATATCATTGGATAATTCGTATCATTTTACAATTGTATGATATTGTTCCTCGAGTATTTCGTTTCTCACATTTAATTGTCACAAAGATAATAGCAATGGTCGGACGTATGATTTTCTCCTTATCTGATTGATACGAGACTTTCGTCACACTCCCGAGAATCTATTCATCTAAAAAATATATAACTTTTTTAAATTTCAAATACCAAAGATTGAACTATTTACTTTTGAAATGATAGTTGATATCAATCTCCCGGAAAACTTCTAAGAACTTTATGCAAAGCCTTCCAATGAAATGTTTTGATGATTGTTCGTTCTAAAACAGATATAGAACGTTTTTTTTTTTTTAGCCAATTATGTCCCGTTCTTTCTCCATTTTCGATTGTTGTTAGGTAGATTGATTCAATTTTTGTCCCATTAACCTAAAAAAATTGTTGTTTGAACATCGATCATATATGTCTTAACCAGGTGAGCTATGTCTAAATTCAACTGATTTTTACTGAAAAATACATAAATTTGAAAAAGCAGCTCGATCGATAGGGAGAGAGAATCAATCTTTCTTTTCTTACTCAGGGTGCTTCATCTTAAGTTCTAGCAGCTGAACATGCTTAGGAACATCGGCCCTATGAGTCGTTTGATGACCTGACTGTTTCGAAAGGTCTGTGGGACATGGGAGCCTCAGCTCATCGAGGTGGGTCGGGAACTCATTGGCGAGGGCAACCAATCAAAGTTAATTGATCATAAAGGCACCATTTAATTCTATATAGAGAGATATTGGATTTGAAAAAGAAAATTCATTAAAGCTTGGAAGGTTAGCAGAAAGAATGTTGGTTTCCATAATCAATTATTCAACTACCATTCTTAAGCGAGTGACCCATTTCAATCACTATCAGCTCTTAATGCACTTTCCCAATGGATATATACGAGTGATCGTTTTTTTGTTCGAACTTCCTAAATCTGTTTAGATTCGGTCAAGTTTTATTAGGGTGAAAGTAATTATTTTAGTTGTTCTTATCATATTGTTATAACTGATGAACAACTCGGGGCTTCCAGTTGTGTGTGTTGACTTATTGATATCAATGTGGATTGAATTTACGTAGACTACGATGGGTATTAACTCCGCCATGCATTAGGTAACATGGACCATATTGTTATTATTACGTTTTCTTTTAAGCTTGTGATCGTGAGAGAATGAAGATAAGAACGGGTGATATTTATAGATCCATAACTTATAATGCTAAAGCCCTCCAAATTAATTTGTTTTCAAATTTGACTTGCGGATGCCTCCTAAAGGGTAACAGAGGTATGGTGATATAAGTCTGCTCGTGAGCGTAATGATATAAGTTTGCTTGACGGTAAGACGATTAAAAATTTCGCCATAGTGATCTGGAAAGTCATATGGTACATTACAAATAATAGACTGATGACTTCCAAAAGCTCTTATCGACAAAGTCGTATGGTACCTCGATGTACTCTCGATCCAGTTTAGCTACGTTCTTCCATGTGATAATCCAGTTTAGCTACGTTCTTCCATGTGATAATGTATGCGTATCGATGTCTTCTTTAGGACCGATTGCTTCTAATTTTCGGGAAAAGGACCGATAGATCCATTTCCTTAGCTATAGTTAATAAATTGACTCATAACTATTAGAATTCAAAAAAAATTCGACCCTTTTTCAGGCCATCTCCTAAATAATCGAACCATGTCTACAAAATATTAGTACCATGCAACTACTTCCAAGCGAGCTTAATGCTCATAGGGAGCAACCCATATTAACGATAATATTAAACTAATTTATCATATTGAAATAATATATCTCGAATTTTTTTATGGTATTGGTCAATAAAATATCACGATTTGCGTTCGCCTCATAAAATAATTAGAAAAATTAAATAACCTTAATTGCGGTTTAATAATTAGATTCATGTATTTCAACAATTCGTGTATCAAACTAATAGTGTATATTCAACGATTCATGTATCAAACTATTCATAACGATCCATGTACCCAATAGTACTATTAGTATATCCAACTGTTCTTGTATCTAATTGTTCATGTTCGTGTATCTAATCGTTCGTGTTCGTGTATCAACTCATAACGTCCTCATAGTATTTGGTCTAAACTTAGCTATATAAGTCACTCATAGGGGCACCAAAATCTTCAACCATTCATTAATGATTGAATTCCTTGCATAAGACGAACAATTAGCCACCATTATGGAGCAAGGAGCTATTGAGCCAAAGGGCACGGCGGACACAGACAATTCAAGCTCATACAAAAAGATCATAATAGTTGCAGCCATTGCAGCCGGAATCCAATTCGGTTGGGCTCTCCAGCTCTCATTACTAACACCATACGTCCAACAACTCGGTGTTTCCCACACATGGTCAGCTTTCATTTGGCTCTGTGGTCCAATGTCCGGCCTAATTGTGCAGCCAACTGTCGGCTACTACAGCGATCGCTGCACCTCGAGGTTCGGTCGCCGTCGTCCCTTCATCATAGCCGGAGCTATATCCGTAGCCGCCGCAGTTTTCCTCATTGGATTTGCAGCAGACATTGGGCATTCACTCGGAGATCAACTCACCAAACCCACAAAACCAAGGGCAGTGGCTATCTTCGTGGTCGGATTTTGGGTTCTTGATGTCGCTAACAACATGTTACAAGGTCCTTGTCGAGCTTTGTTAGCTGATATGTCATGTAGCAACCAAAAGAAAATGAGGGTCGCTAATGGATTCTTCTCATTCTTTATGGGCGTAGGGAATGTCTTAGGGTATGCAGCAGGGTCCAATAGCGAACTCTATAAGCTCCTTCCATTTACTATCACTAAATCTTGTGATGCTTATTGCGCTAACCTCAAGACATGTTTTTTAATCGACATTGTGTTGCTGCTAGCCATTACAACAGCCGCCGTGTTGTTAGTGAGCGAGAGGCCTTATGAGAACGCTATTGACAACGAAACAGAGCCGTTTTTTGGGCAATTGTGTGGGGCGCTCAAGCGGCTATCAAAGCCCATGTGGGTGTTGTTGCTTGTCACAGCATTGAATTGGATTGGTTGGTTTCCTTTTATAATGTATGACACGGATTGGATGGGCGCTGAAGTGTATGGTGGCAAGCCACAGGGGAGTGAAGAACAAGAGAAGAATTATGACCTTGGTGTGCGAGCAGGGGCGCTTGGTTTGATGGTGAACTCATTTGTTCTTGGGTTTACTGCATTGGGTATTGAGCCAATTAGCCGTGTGGTTGGTGGGCTAAGATGGGTTTGGGGAATTGTGAATGTTGTATTGGCAATTTGTATGGGGTGTACGGTGGCTGTGACGAAGGCGGCTGAGAAATGGAGGGCTGTTCACGGCGGCTTGGCGCTTCCTCCGCCGGGTGTTAAAGGTGGCGCCTTTACGATCTTTGCGATATTGGGTGTTCCGCTATCGGTGACTTATAGTGTTCCATTTGCTCTTGCATCAATCTTTTCGTTGTCATCGAATGCAGGGCAAGGGCTGTCTTTGGGGATTTTGAATCTGTTTATAGTGATACCGCAGTTCTTTGTGTCGGCTGTTAGTGGGCCGCTTGATGCTGCTCTTGGAGGGGGGAATTTGCCGGCTTTTGTTATGGGGGGGATTGCTGCGGCTGTGAGTGCTGTGTGTGCTATGTTTTTGCTTCCTGATCCGCCGCCGGAGACTCATGTTGCTGTCACGATGGACGCCGGGCATTGATTTTGCTTGCCACTTATTTTATGTGCTTCTCCAATAAAATTGAATAATTTTTGTTTGAGATTTGGCTGTTGTTTAGGTTTAGTGTTTGAATTGGTTAATCAAACTATGGGGATATTGGTTGAAAAGATTACAGAAGATATTGAATGAATAAAAGATATATAAATGGGTGTTTGCCATTGTTTATAAGAATGAGTATTGGAACGTACAATTCTAAATGCCCACGGGTGTCACTAAACAAGTAAAAGATAATGGATAGTTTTCATGGATAATAACGTAATACTGTATTCTATTAACCAAGTACGGGAGATATTCAGAGATATTGAATGAATAAACGAAGGGTCGTAGATAGATGAGTGTTTGTGATTGTTTATAAAAGTGAATATTAACACAAGATACTACTAAATAAGTGGAGAATAATAAACTGTTTTCGTCGTAACTATGTGATTTTACAATGAATATGTTCCATTTTGATTCTCTTCAGCTTGCTTTTTAGATGCTTTTGATAGCTTTTGCCTCTCCAATTCTATTATTTGCCCATTCTTGTTCTTCCCAACATGAAGTTATGGTGGCCTAAAGTCAAGAGAGAGAACAAATCAAGCTAAAAATGGCCTAAACACTGTAACAACAACCGCCTCCAAGACATTTGTCCCACACTGGTAGCATTGAGAAGCTATAGATTTAAGAAAAATGTTTTATTGTATAGTTTAGCATCAAAAGGCTCGGTTGAAAGTTTGACAGTGTTGAGACGTTCTTAGTATCTAGACGTAATCACGATTCCAATTAAATATAACATGTAATAGAGATCAAAGATCGACACACAACGCTAGCGTTATCAAAATAAAATTTAAAATGTTCCAAATATCCAACCTATAAGATAAGAGAATAGCTTTTCCACCTTTTCGGAATAGTAATTTCAATCATTCCAAAATCATTTCCGAACATGCGTCCAAACAAACCAAACCAAACCAAACCAAACCATCTAGTTCCAAAGCTTCATCAACCCATCAACCTAGCCAAACATGGCCCCTGTTCAAGCTTATGATGCATAACTGGAAACTACAACCTTTCTAACAAAGACAAGAAGAAGCTATCACTTGGGATTGGAGCAGCTCTTCAAAAGTCATCACTCACAATGATTGTGACTAATCTAAAGCCATAGAAAAGTTTTAAGAAAACATATCAAAACACAACCTAAGCTCATCTCAACTCATATTTCAAACCTATGTTAGGGCAATGTGAAAAAAAAAGGGTATAAAAAGCGCAACAATAGGAGTAATATACAAATTATATTGTTGTGGGATACAAATAATATAATATAAGCAACAGACGGCTGCTTAAAATATTTATTCAATCTTCGGCCGTGCTTCAAAGCCGCCTCCTGCCCTCTTCTCCAAGGAGTAAGGCAAGTAGGTTCCAAGTATTCTATCCCATATAACAAAGAAGGGTTGTGAGAAATTAAACTTGCTACCATATAGCTGATGGTGGACATCGTGATATGCAGTATTGTTTCGAAACAAGACGTGGAAGAGGTTACCAGGCAGCCATAATCCACAGTGATCGTCTACGGTCTTAATAGTTGCAAAGGAAAAGAAGAAGATAGAGACTCTGGGAGTCATACCAGATACTAGAAACGACAACGCTCCACCGACTGTGTCGAGCAGTAGTCCTTCCACAGGATGATTATACAAAGCCCCAAACGCATATGGAACAACAAGCTTATGGTGCTGAGAATGAATGTGTCTGAACAGAAACTTGTTATGATGCATGTATCTGTGTGCGAAGTATTGCCATGTGTCCAAAACGAACATCGCGGTTAGAAATTGAAGAACAACCACTGGCCAGGATTTTGGAACTGCAATGCTCCCATCATCATTTCCAGTCACCTGAACATAACAAGATGCAATTGTAAATTTGGATACAAACTAGGATGCAAGTGCAGGGCTGGTAACCCACATGATATCAGTAAGTAATGCCAGAATCTAACATTGATTCCATTTTCCTTTCCAGAATTGGGAGTATGCTATAAGCTGAAAACATTTAAGTTCATGACTTGCCACTTTAACCACTGGATCAAAGCCACATTTAACAGCACTTAGATGAGGCTAACTTTAATAATAGTTTTACTCCAGAAATTATATTTCACACGAACATCCACAACAAGAACTACAGTTCTACATCTCATTTAGCATGAAACTCACAGGAAAAAAGAAAAAGAGAGATTGCTTAGAAGCAATAGCAATAACATTGTAGTAAATACATCCAACACACAAGACACAATTGTACGGAACCAAGGTTTTAGCTCGTACGAGTTGTTGACTTCCTACAATGCAGAAGACGTAAGGGGATTGGTACTGTCCCAATACTTCTTGAGGATATTTTTTTTCAAACATATATATAAGTAAACCAAAACATTAAAGATTACACAAATAAATATGTAACCTAAACTACATAGACAAATCCAAGAGAATCGAATTATAGCTAAAGTACGATTAAATTTTCATACAATTGAGATATACCGTGTTGTTTTGACCAATTCGATTTGTAACCAAACGATAACCTCAAAGGGAATTTAAGAATAAAAAAAGGGGTGAATAGCATAAAACTTTTATTCAAATCCATCGATCACAGCTTTGAAATTATTCATCCAAACTCTTTCCTTATGAACCTCTATTCCTAGAGTTTGAAATCCAAAAAACTTAAAAGTCAAAAGCTAACAGCTTAACACCAACTAATATAACTTTACAGTGGATGCTAAAAACTGCAAGTTTATCCTTCCAATTTCCGGCTTGAATCATCAACCCTTTTGTTCCTGAATGGAATCGAAATTTTCGAGTTGACTACTAAATTATAAGATTTTCAGATTTTTGTTTCATCAATTCAAATTACAGTAACAAAAAATGATTTTCACTTTGCCAGCATTAGCAATAGATGTTCTTTTAAATATGCAGTGTTTAATTATATAAAAAACGAAATTTTGCAAATGGTAAATTGCTGCGATGGCTTCACCCCTGCGTCCAGTGGTGTGACAGACTCTAATTTCGATCAAAACACATATAAAGAGAAGAGGAGTTGTTACTTTAATTTTGTCAGAACTCAAATGGTCCACAGACAACAAAACTTTCAATCTCAGTAGCTAAACTAAGGAAATCTTAGGAAGATCGTACTACAGTTATACCAAAGTGTATGAGCAAAATGAATCCCAGTTGAAATTTTCTAGGGCAGGTTCCACCAATAATTAGGATCAGAAATAAACTAAATTACAGTAATAACGACAAGTGCGACGACGACGACGATGATTATTAATTGCAATACTAGCAAAGAAATTAAATAGAAAGTAGGAGCTGACCTTAAAGAGGATGATGGCGACAATAGCCTGAATGAATTGTTGAAAGAGAACGCCTCGAACCACAGTGGATTTTGAAACCAAGTTCTTCTCATCCTCGTCTTTCTTGGAGTGCAGTCGGTAATTCTCGAAGAAACCGAGAATCACGTAAATCCCAGAATAGAACCAATAAACGAAAATCGGGACGAAAGTACCCAACAAGTCATCGGAGATGGTGAATCCCATTGAGAAGGAAGAAGGTAGAGATTCAGAGATAGAAAAACAAAACCATAGATTTGTTAAGAATTCAAAAAGATGAACAAAATCAAAGCATAAATCTCCAAATCGGAAATCCGCTGGGCGTTTGGAAGTAAATCCAGAATAATCTTCCCCACTCTGGTTGAGAAATTTTTGAAGAACACAGGAAATCGATCGCTAATTCTCAATTTCTAATTACAATAATCCTTGGCTCAATCTCTGAATCCCACGATGAAGGGTTTTTAAAATTTTAATTCAATCAATACTCTTATTAAATACAAATTTAATACAATTTCACCTTTTTATTTTCAATATTTGACAATTCAAACCCGTTGACCATACACCTACAAAGACCAAAATACCCCTCTACTTCTCGATAATTTAATTTATGTACTTTCAATAAACTTGCTATATTTTCTATTTAAAAAATAGTTTTAAATCGTTTTTTCTCTATAATTTTTATAAAATTTAAAAATGTGTTCACCTTGTTTATTAATTATTATTTAACTAATTTCAATAAAGAAATAGAAATTAATAATGAAATCGAGACCAAAATATAACCATAATTGTAATTCAATTAGCATCTACTTAATGATCTGACTTTTGAAATTATTTTCGTCACGATTGCTCATTGATTTCAATTTTAAAGTGAAAAAGCAAAAAAAAAAATGTAAGTTATAAATTTATTCGTCTCCATTAAATAATTAAGCAATAATGCATACATAATTATTTAAAAGAAAAAAACTTCATGACCAGTGTATCGAGTCTGCAACTGACTATGAAAAAAACGTTCAGGAAACTTTAGAGCAATGAAGGAAAAATATGCGAAAGTACAAATAAAAGATAAAATATGTCGACAATCTTCCATGACAACAAGCAGTTCTTCACGTTAGAGTTCATGCACGCTCTTAAAGTTGAGTATTGAAAATCACAATACAATACAATTCTCTGATTGACATAATGCTATATCACGAAGTTGTGATACAATCCTCATGCACACAGATAAATAATTGACATAAATGTCATAACATTCAGTCCAACATAATTTCGTGTACAGTGGATCAAGGTTGAAATTGATATTAAATTTAATATTCTATTTAAAATAAAACAATTAGATTTCAAAATAAAGTATTTCAACAAAAATAATATTTAGATTAAATTTTAGTTTTTTCAAATAATCTTGAGAATTAAATTAAAAAAAAAAAAAGTGAAAGTTAAAAAGACAAGGAAAAAAAGAACATTCCAAGGAACACGAATCCCTATACACAAACCAAAAATAAATAAATAAATTATAAAAATAACGACAAAAGAGGCAGATGTCTGGCTGTCTCGGATTTAAAAACAAATTTGGATTTTGAAAATTTAATAACTATTTGGTTTTTTATTTAAATAATTTTATTTTCTCATCATTTTTTATACTAAATTTACCTTTATATTTTTTTTAAAGGAAAATATTTATTATCAGATTTTCATAATATTTAAAAATAAGCGAATTATGTTTTGGGGTATCGTAAGGCTAATCATGTTGTCTAAAGCTTAACTTGGAACACGAGTAATTCTCTTAGTTCGAAGAAGCAACCCGCTTACTCGAAATCTGTCCCTTCAGTTGTTATAGTCCTGGTTTAGGAATACCATAAATCCAATTATGTTGTCCAAGTCTTAACTTGAAACAAGAGTATCTTAGTTCGAAGAAGCAACTCGCTCACTCGAAATATGTCCCTACAGTTTTTGTAGTCTCGTTTTAGGGATATCATACGGTCAATTATGTTATCCAAAACTTAACTTGAAACACGAGTAAGACTTAAGTTTGCAGTGGAGGAGGAGGTCCATGTGATGTGAGAGTTTCATGCGCATTCACAATAACAGAAAATGAAGCTGCCATCGGGAGAGGAAGCCTGGCGTTTGTGTGTACCACCAAAGGTATAATGTCATAGCAAGTGGTTCAAGGAGGCGTGTAAGTAGCTCGCCACCACACTAGGCTAAATGCTAAATGGGGCCTGGTCCAATGGCTAGAGCACCGTGAAACCAGTGGTTTTAAGAGTGTGCCTTTGAGAGTTGGGTGGCATGAGCATGTCTTCACTCATTGCAACACTCAGAACAAGTTGTGAAGCGTTTAATAGATATTAACGAATGAAACTGTATTAACCCAAGTGTTACAAGTTCACCACTAGTAGATATTCTCTTCTTTTGACTTTTCTTTCGAGCTTTCTCTTAAGTTTTTTAAAACGTGTCTGTTAGAGAGAAGTTTCTAGACCTTAATGTTTCGTTCTCCTCTCGAACTGATACGGGATCTTGTAATCCACCCCCCTTCGAGGCCCAACGTCTTCGCTTCACTCGTTCCCTTCTCCAATCGATGTGAGGCTCCTCAATCCATCCCCTTTAGGGCCCAGCCTCCTCGCTCACACATCGTCCGATGTCCGACTCTAATACCATTTGTAAGAGCCCAAACTCACCACTAATAGATATTGTCCTCTTTGCGCTTTCCATGCAGGCTTCCTCTCAAGGTTGTTAAAACGCGCTGTTAGGGACATGTTTTCACACCCTTATAAATAATGTTTTGTTCTCACAAAAATGGATGTCATCGACATGGTTTAGCTATGGAACTAAATCCTAGAGCACAGGCAAAATCCCATTATAGTTACAACATGACTAAAAAGGCATGAAAGGGGAGGTGTGCTAGATCTAAAAATCACTCGAGATGAATATAGAGTTTTGAACGCACACTAGAGCCTAACTTAGACCATATTCATGCTCGAGGTAGTTTAGAAGGATGGTTAAGATGTGGGTTTGATGCAAGCTAGGAGATCACTTTAAGCCTAACAGATCATAAGACAGACAGGATAAGAGTAATTAGGCCGAAGTGTTCTAAAAAAACACAAAATCTGACAGGAACATGCATCTGTCTCCAACATATTTTGAAGACATTCCCTTTGCAGCTCCCACTTTTGTCTGTCTCTTGGGCCATTATGATGGGATGGGATAAAACAGAGCCTAATTTGTTATAAGATAATGAAGCTAAAAGAAACACGAAAAGAGAAGGATTCAATGATCTGTGACCAAAAAACTAACATATCAGCTCATGCCGACTACTTTCCTAAACTTTTCTTTTGTGATCGGGATCACAAGTCACAGTCATTCCACTTTGACCCTTTCCTTTACATAGGATAGGGAGCCCCTAAATCCATATCCCCGTCTTTCTCGACCTTACATTCGGATTCTTGACAGAGTTTTAAAAAACTTAAAAAATTTCAAAATTTCGATTAAGAATTCGAAGAAAAGTTTTTGAGTGGGGAGAGAATAATGTAATGATGGAGATTATGATTAGTTGTGGGAGGAACCAAGAAAAGAAGGTTAGAAACCCCATATGGACAGAAATGCAGACCAGAAAGCAACATCTCATTTTACTTCTTTTGCTTTTGATTGGAGAATGAAAAAGCAAAGCAGAAGAGAGAATATTTTAACAAAAACGACACCATAAGTTTAATATCAATATCAATATCAACATCAACCTCAACAGCCAATCCAAAATGCTACTCGCTACTCGCTACTCGCTTCAACATCGACTAATCAGACATGGTTTGGAGGCAGCCACTATGACCACTAAACTTTAAATAAACATGGAAATTTTTGCTTTGGAATGTTTTATCCTGCACGTGGTGTCGACCACTACAAGCGTTCTAGTTAACTAAACTAAACTAAAATACAAAACGAAAAGATTGTTCTAAGTTCTAACATTAACAGAAGGCACAGAGTACAAAGAAACATAAATGAATTGGCAACTCAAAGGAATAATTTATAGCGAAAAAGAAAAGCATAAAGAAATTTCATTAAACAAACAATTAACTTGTTTTTATTGCATAGGGAAGAGAGCTTGGAATTCAAAAGTGGAACTACGGAAGGAGATCTTAAAATGACCAAAAGCAAGCGTTTTGATTCTTTTGGTAACTATTCTTTTGGGGGCTCAACTGTTCTCTTCTTCCTTTTCTTCTTTGGCTCTGTTGTGTATCTGTATTATGATAATGCTACCTCTAGTTTTATGGTTGGCCCATTTCTACTTCATTCCAAAACAAAACAGATATCAATAATACCCTTTTCTTAATAGCAAAGGAAGCTAAAATATCAAGAACAGGTTCTATTATCTCATCTAATGGGTTGAAATAGTTACAGTGTTTAAGATTCCTAGTGGGTCAAGAAGATGTATTCATGGATGGTGTGTTTATGAACGAGGGCGCCATGATTAGGCCCCCTACTCAAAAAGTTATATGCTATTTAAGCTGTTGTGTTGCCTTATGCTTGTATGCCATATAACATTGCTTTCAAAATCTCTGTCTCTGTTTTCTAAACCTTCTTCTCAAATCGAGGCTAGAGGCTTGAGTATACGTTGCCGGAATATAGGCGACGCAAATACAAATTGGCTTGACTCACTTGGTGTTAGGAAGCGAGTGCGGTACAATTACAAAGTCTGGTGCTAAGAACAGTGCGATTGTGACAAGTGGTATCAGAACAAGAAGTGTGGTATTTGACATTTTGGATAGAGATATGAAGAAATAAAATAAGGAAAAAGATGCTTCGCTTCTCGGAGGCATTGTTCTAACGAACGCCTTTATTCATCCTTATAAGATTCTTCTATAACAGCCTTAGATTTGCAGGGTTATGATTTGAATGAATCTAAATTTGGTCTAGACGTTTTCATGGCCCGATTTTGCTTTATGCTTTAAAGCGACTTCCAAAACCAATGAGAGATAAATAACAGTCTTCTTGTGTGTCTACTACAGGAATCAATCTCTCTCCTTTTGCTTCATTGTAGAAGCCATGGTTTTTAGTATACACAGAGTACTTCTTGTCCTTCTCATGTGTGTTGTGGCACTTTTAGCAGTTAAACCAGAGCAGGCTTGTGCTTTGAGAAGCATGGACCTTGCTCTGAGACCAAGCCGCCACATTCTTGAAGATCCAAGGGTGGAGGAAATGAAGTCGAAAAGGAATTCACGACCACGAAACAAGTTCGATCCGAATAGATCGAGCAAAAGACGGGTTCGACGAGGATCGGATCCTATCCACAACAGGTCTTAGTTCATTTCTTTTATTTGCTGAAGAAGGTTCAGGCCACTCCACAAGAATCTGGTTTCATCCATGGTTGGTTGGTTTAATCCTTAACGTCCCGTTTGATAACCATTCTATTTTTAGTTTTATGTTTTGGAAAACTACGTTGGTTTGTCCACCATTTTCTTCGAGTTCGAAGTAAAATTTCAAAAACAAAAATTACTTTCTTTTAGTTGCCCAAAACAAAGACATGCATAAGAGAAAGTAGTGATTGTAAGCTTAATTTTCAAAAACGACAAAAACGACAAAAACTAAAAATAAAATGGTTATCGAACGGGTCCTTATGTTTCTGTTTAAGAGTTTTTATTCTTCTATGTATAGTGAAGCTTACTAGAGGAAGTTCTCCACAATCATCTTCATACTGAAACTAGAAGTGCAGTAACAAAATTAGCAGTAAAAAGATCATAGAGATGAATGATTCTGCACTTGACAAGAACAGTCGAGTTACTCGACGAGGTTTCGATAATTTTCTTTGAAGAGGGGATGATTTTGAATCAGCTAGCTCTAAACAAAGTTTCTTTTTCTCCTTCTAAACTTAGCTAATACTCTACATGTTCATCCAAAGTTATCTCCTCTCGTCCCCAGAAACTGCTTAGTTTCACTCAAATCCGGGCACAGTAAAAAATTGCCATCTCCTCATTGTGGCCTTGCCTTTTGCTATGTATCTTTAGTTATGAATTGTGGGTTTCAAAGCTTGAGATGAACAAAAATGTGTAATGGTTAAAGCATTTTGTTGCTATGAGACACTGAACAAGAGTCTCTTCTTTGCTGCTTGTGTTAACAAAAACAAAAATCTTGCCTATCGTAATCATGGTTGACTGAGTTTTGAATGTTTTTTATTCGATGTAAGTGTAGAGAAATGCAACAATGGTGCTCGAAGGTAAAAAGAGGCATATGTGAGATCCCATATTGGTTAGAGAGGGGAACGAAGCATTCCTTATAAGTGTGTGGAAAAAACCTCTTCCTAGTAAACACGTTTTAAAACTGTGAGACTGACGGCGATACATAACAGGCCAAAGCGGACAATATTTACTAGCGGTGGGTTTGGACTATTACAAATAGTATCAGAGCCATACACCAAGTGGTGCGCTAGCAAGGACGCTCGCCCCCAAGGTAGGTAGATTGTGAGATCCTACGTTAGTTAGGGGAGAGAAATGAAACATTCGGAAGTGAAAATCTCTTCCTGGTAGAGGTGCGTTTTAAAACCGTGAGGCTAACGGCAATATAAAATTGGTCAATATCTACTAACGGTGGGCTTGGATTTGAAAGGTTACCATTCCGAGTTATCTGGCTGAAACTTGGGGATTTGGAAAAGTTACCAAATTCAAGTGAAGAAATAGAATTAAAACCTCAAGAACAGATATCAAAACCACAAGAACAGATATCAAAACCTCAAGAACAGCAACACAATTGAGAATACTGGTAGTAACAGATAGCATTTCGTACCTGAAACTCTCTACCATCGATATCAATTAATGAGTTGTTATCCCACATGCATAGGCATATGAACTTCGCTTTCAGGATTGCTCCAGAATCAGCTTTTCTTAATCAATATCAGACATTAATCTATTTGCCCATCAAAACATTCACAATATACTCTTAAATTAACAAAATCAAGCTCAAAAAACAAGCTAATCGCTCTTATTCCAAGAGTTATCAGCATGTCCCCATGAGTAGCAGCAACAACGACGCCCTTTATCCAGCAGTAATCGTGTTCTTCATGGTGTTCATCGCTCGATCCACAAGCCCAATGAACAAGAGCTGCTTCGCTTTGAGTCCACCACAATTTATGAGCTCATATTTGAACACCCACAACTCGAACAATCCCCGTTTTGTTTTCCCATAATCTGTAAAGCTCAGATCGCAAAGCTCCGAGCATTTTCACTGATTGAAGCTATAATGCAAAAGTTTGGAGTCGAGGCTATTTGGATTCTCCTGATTTGAGTGCTTCGTTAGGATGAACAAATTCCAAAATTCTTAACGTTCTAAGCATTATGATACTTAAATTATTTCACACTCGTAAATTCCACCGATTAATGTTTCTATATAAATCCTAATAATGACGTGTTAAATTCAAATAAATAAAAATTTTATTGATTGAATTGGTTCAGTATTTTTTTAAAATAAGATCTCTTAAAAATAATATATTATAATTTTTTTAAAAATATATTATAACTTTCTTAAATTATAATATATTTTTTTAGTTGGATGTATATACATTTATTTTATTTTATTTAATTATTTTTAAAAATAATTTTACAAACTAATATTTAAAAAAAAAATTATGATTATAGATGGATTTTTGCCAAATCTTCAGACATTTTTTTTCAACCTTTTCAATCTTTTTCTGTCGGCCAGTTTTGGTAGCCGTCGGCTAAGAACCACCGCCGGAGAAGTGAGAATACTTTGACACCGATTGCGGAGTGTTGAATATATATACTATTAGTATATTTTCAATTTGTTTAATTTAATTAGATTTGAATAAAGAGATCTTGTTCTTCGTCTCCGACACAGAGCATCGCCGGAGAAGAGAGCAAGACCGAGACAGAAAGGGCGATAATTTCCAGCGATTGCCCTCTCCGTCTCGATCGATCTTAATAATCACAATAGTTATAATAATATTCTTTTTACTTTACTCTTCGTCTTCGTCTTCTATTTCCACTTTTTAATTTTAATGTCTTTGTGATGTACTTCGTTTCAATTATCCTCGCCTTAATCCCTAGTCTTTGATGCGACGATTGAATGCCCGTAAAAGGGACGTTTCTAAGATTTCCAATATGGATCCCGCCAAGCTGCACGTTAGACCTAGCAGCCGAGCCAATTTGTTCGCCAGGAACAACCCTAAGAACTCTTCCAAATCCAAATGGTGGGTTTCTATTTCAGCCCTACTTGCGTTCGCTCTGTTGCTCTGTTATGTATTCGTTTTTACAAGGAATTTGCGGAGCTCTTTGAAGAGAAGATATGGAATCGTTATCGATGGAGGTAGCACAGGGACTAGAATCCATGTGTTTGGGTATAGAGTGGAGGGTGGATATGGGGTTTTTGATTTTGGGGAAGAGGGATTGGCGTCGTTGAAGGTGAATCCAGGGCTATCGGCGTATGCCGAAGATCCAGACGGTGCTGGGAAGTCTTTGATGGAGCTTTTGGACTATGGGAAGAGTCAGATTCCGAGGGATCAATGGGAAGTTACTGAAGTTCGGTTAATGGCGACGGCGGGGCTAAGAATGCTGGAAGTCGATGTACAGAACCAGATATTGGATTCTTGCCGGAGCGTACTGTGGTCTTCGGGATTTAAGTTCCGGGACGAGTGGGCGTCGGTCATTACAGGTATGAACTTCTCTTCTCAGCCTGTGCATTGATGTTGTTGATGTGTTATTTCAGAGATATCAGTTCTAGCTGCTGAATTCGTTTAAAATAGATATCAACTAATGTGATGTGAGCAATGGCTGTGTTAGGCTCTGATGAAGGGACTTATGCGTGGGTTGCTGCTAACTACGCGCTTGGCACTCTTGGAGGTGATCCCCTTGAGACAACTGGAATTATTGAACTTGGTGGAGCTTCTGCTCAGGTTTGCATTGATCTTCTTTTGCTCTTAATCAGATATAGTTTATATGTCGATGGTGTTCCAGGCCAAACGTAAAAGTATGTCGTTGTTCTTTTCGCGGTGACAGATATAAGTCTAAACTAAATCCAGCTTTCTTAAAGCATTAGAACTACAAAGCTAAACGGAAATTATATTTTAACATCTGCACCAAAGGAAGGATGCTGAAATTTTGTTGTTCTTGATATGATTTCTTTTAATAAAAAAATTTAACAATCACACAAAGCCTTGGTGTTCTTGATATATTAATATGATCAAGAAAAATAAGGCTAGTGGCTCTTGAAATGACGGTGTGATTAAGTACAGAAAAAGATAAAATCCTATTGAATGAAGCTGAAAGATATGCAGGAAAAAGTTAAAAGTAGCCTCGAACAGAAAACGAACAGTTAAAAGGCTCTATTAAACAACCGTTTCGTTTGTTTTATCTCCATTTCTCTGCAATGAATTTCATCGAGATATTTGAATTCTTAGCCGAATTCCAAAACGAAAACAAGTTTTTGAAAACTATTTATTTAGTTTTTACGAAACTTAGAAGTAAATAACAAAACAAGGGATATCTGATTTTCTCTGTTTCAGGTTACTTTTGTTTCAAGTGAACCAATACCTCCTGAATTCTCACGTACAGTTAAATTTGGCAATATGACTTATAGTCTATACGCTCACAGCTTTCTACAATTTGGGCAGGTAAATCCTTCTTTTCATGAGCTATATTTTCTCTTGAAGTTGAGTAGCACAAATAAAATTTGGAATTCGTAATTGTGATGTCCCACATTGGTTGGGAGGAGAACAAACCACCATTTATTAGGGTGTGGAAACCTTCCCTTAGCAGACGCGTTTTAAAGCCTGAGAGAAAGCCCGAAAGGGAAAGCCCAAAGAGAACAATATCTGCTAGCGGCGGATCTGGGCCGTTACAAATGGTATCAGAGCCAGACATTGGACGATGTGTCAGCCTTCTCGCTGTTCTCCGAAGGGGGATAGACACAAGGCGGTGTGCCAGTAAGGACGTTGGCCCCAAAAGGGGGTAGATTTGGGGGCGGTCTCACATCGATTGGAGGAAGGAAAGAGGACCAACGAGGACGCTGGGTCCCGAAGGGGGGTGGATTGTGATGTCCCACATTGGTTGGGGGAGGAGAACAAACCACCATTTATAAAAGTGTGGAAACCTTCCCCTAGTAGACGCGTTTTAAAGCTTTGAGGGAAAGCCCAAAGAGGACAATATCTGCTAGCGGTGGATCTAGGCCGTTACAGTAATACTACGAAACCTTCTGTAATTATCAGATGTTGGTCGTCCTTCTTTTTGCTTATTTTGCTCTATTTCGACTCTTCTTCTAAATTGTTTGCCAATAGCTGATTTTTCTAAGCCAACAGAGATTTCTGTTTTCTTTTTTCTACAAACAACCAAAACTGCAGGTAGCCTTAATTCTTGGTTTCTGGTAAAAAGTCATATTTGATGTAGTTTTTATTTAGTTAAAATTTCGTTGATGATGTTTCTGTATGGTTCTTGAATAGATCTTTCCACAGTGCTTTAGCAGCCAATATTTGTACTTTTATCCATCTTACTAGAAGTTATACTTTCCCGACGATTAAACGTAAAATCGTTTAGAGGGAGTATGGAGCCAATAGCTTTGTGATCTTTCTAAGTTAAAAAAATCCCTTAAGTTTGAGGAGCATGGCTCATTATCTTTTTCGCACTCTCTCATTAGTGTTCATCTTTTGGGAGAATAAGATCTGAACTACTCATTGCAATACTCTTAGAGAGCAGAAATTCCTTCAACATTGGTCACTATGATAGTAGTTTAGCTTATGAAATTGAGAAAGGACGTACAAGAGAGAACCTCGTAGCTTTTGGTGACCGAATTTTGTTATTCAGTCAAAGAGGGTACAAAATAAGCTACCTTGGAGTAGTAAGTGATGAACCCTGTAATCCATTTTGGTGTCCTAGGGTGGGTCTCTCCATCAAAATCTGAGTCACAGATGTCTAGCAAATATGAAGAAAATATTAGTCACTGAGTGGAAAAGGCGACTCAGCGAGCAAATATCCTCCCAAGCCGAGTGTGATACTGTTGCAAAGTTGTTGAGCAAGGAGAGGCTGTAACAAGCGGAACGAAAATTTGAAGATTTAGAATGTTACACATTTTGGAAATAGCAGACCACAGACTATGGCAGCTACCTCTTATGACCTTTTGAGTATCCTGCTTGGATGCTTCACTCTTTCTTGCAATTATGGAATGCTAAATTGAAGATCCTTCTTTGGGATTTGCCTCAAATGTACGGCAAGCAAGTTTCTTTGCCATTTTGTAGTGCATTTTGTTGGTTCGAAGTAAGAGGTTGCGGGATGAGGTGTACTTACCCCTTCCGACTTATTTATGAAATTTTAACTCAGCGGGATGGTTAGTTGGTTGAAGAGGCTAACTCGGAGACTAATAGCTTATTGACACACTATCTCTCTGAGTGCCTCCTCAAGGACAAGGTGAAAAATTTAGGTGGACGGTACTGATAAGAATACAGCCAAGAGTATGGACTAGTTAGGTCATTTGGTAATACTGACAATCTATATATCTGTTAGAAGGTCGGGTTATATATGGGTAGAGTAAGCTGAGGGGCTCAGTCAATGCATATAGACAAGATATTCTCTAGTAGAGGGAGAACCAGGCTTCTCAAATGTTTGAATAGCTTGAAATGCTTTGATATTGCAACATGGAATACTGCCAGTTTGTTATTTTTTCTTTATCAATGGCCTATTCAGGGCACTTAAGAAATTGCATAGGTCTGGACTGACCACATCGCTCTCCTGCAAGTGGTTCTGTACGATGACAACCATTTTTAAGAGTTATAAAATCACTTCTTTTCCCCAAGGTTTGTTTCTGATTAAGGTTCTGGTTGTTTAATTTTCCATCTTTTTTGTATTTTCATCTTGAATGTGAAGTGCTTTTCTGTTCTAAATTTTGTTTAATGTATAACTTCTGCCATGCTTTGAGAGCTTCACTTCTGTTCAACTTTCTTAATTCAAAATGCTTTAAACTCTTCAGAGTTGTGATTAGCCTTGTTTTGCAGAACGCTGCTCATGACTCCTTAAGAGAAGCACTCATTTCAGGTAAATGTGCACGTCTTTTCTTTTATATAAATTACCTACATTTGAAGAAATTATTTATTTGATACTTCTGTAACATACGATGACCAAGGGATCGAGAACGCCCTTGGAAGGCCCTTGTCTGAAGGGTGCAGAGCATTCAACTTCATTTGCTTTCGACTGTTCTCGAGGTTTAATTCTCAATGGTTCATGCAGCTAAAACTCATCAAAATGAACTGTCTGTGGATCCTTGTACCCCCAATGGGTACTCTCATCTTACTGAGCCTGAAAAACTATCTCCAGACCCTATGGTGGAAAGAAAAAGGTATCTATCAACTTTCCATTCCAAGGGAAACTTCTCTGAGTGCAGATCTGTTGCCTTAAAGCTGCTGCAGAAAGGAAAAGGTTGTACAAATCTTCATATGGTTTTGACTCTCTGATACCGATCTGATTGCTGATCCTAAAAGTGCATAACACTTCCCCTTCTTTTCTCAACCTTCTCCCCTGCAGAGAAATGCACCAATGCAAATTGCTATGTAGGATCCATTTTCACACCAAAACTTCGAGGGAAGTTTTTGGCTACGGAGAATTTCTTTTATACGTCAAAAGTAAGCTTTTCTTCCCTTTTTACAAATTTACACTTTGATTATGCTTCCTCACTCTCTTCATTGCGTTCATTAATATTGTTTAGTATGTTTCTGATTGTGAGATCCCATATCGGTTGGAGAGGGGAACGAAACATCCTCTAGCATACTCGTTTTAAAACCATGAGGCTGACGGCGATACGTAATGGGTCAAAGCGGACAATATTTACTAACAGTGACTTGGAGTGTTACAAATGATATCAGAGTCAGACACTGAGTGGTGTGCCAGCGAGGACGCTGGGCCCTCAAGAGGGGTGGATTGTGAGATCCCACGTCGGTTGGAAAGGAGAACAAAACATTTCTTATAAGGGTGTGGAAACCTCTCCCTAACAAACGCGTTTTAGAACCGTGAGGCCGATGGAGATATGTAACGGGCCAAAACATACAATATTGATCTCTCTTCTTCCTGATGAGGTGCACATGTGGTCTTATCATTGGTGTTTTATATGGACCTTCATGAATTCTTTTTTTGTTAGTTCTTTGGTCTTGGACCTAGAGCTTTTCTTTCAGATCTGATGGCGGCTGGACAGGAGTTCTGCAGTGATGACTGGTTGAAGTTGAAAAAAAGACACAAGCTACTCAATGAAGAAGATTTGCTACGCTATTGCTTCTCATCAGCATATATCGTCGCCCTACTTCACGACAGCCTTGGATTTAGATTAGATGATCAGAGGTACACTGCATATCTGATGCTAGTTACAACTATTTGATGTTTCTTACAGCTTCATAACTCTTTTGTGATTAGCATCACTGCTGCTACTCAAGTGCAAAACATTCCACTCGATTGGGCATTGGGAGCTTTCATCCTGCAAAGCACAGCTGCAATAGAATCAGAACCAGAGCAATGGGATTGGATTGCAGCACTCTTCGCCTGTGAGTCACCCTCTATGATCTTGCTAATTGGTATATCAATTGTGTTGTTCATAGCATGGTATGTATTGAAGTGGAGGAAACCTGAGTTAAAGACGATATACGATCTAGAGAAAGGACGATACATAGTGACCCGTGTGAGTAAATGCTGATAAACAACTAGTTTACTAGTAACTTGCCTGGATGGTTTCAATAATTTTTACACAATTCAGCCTAAATATAGTTTCCCATAGACCAATCTGTGAGTCCAAGATGTTGTTTGAGATTTGTATATTCCCTGATTTTCATTCACATCTCACGTAGATTGCCACTGTTCTAGAAAAATCATCCATTTTAGCATAGGAAGAACAGATCGCTGTCGTCGCCATCGAGTCAGAGTGTCAGTGTGTTCCCCTTACTTTATAAGATGATGTTTTGATTTATTATGACTGATTTCATGACGAACTTAGATGTGCTTTTTGTGTCTTAAATTATCGTTTAAATTAAATAATTATCAAACGAGCTACGTGGTGTACAAATAAAGTTTTAAAACAAAATGAAAATTTATAAAATGGGTTACTTTCTTTGTTTGGAAAGGAAGGCACATTGAACGTGATACTGTGATATTCGACTATTTTATATTTGTCTAGTTGAGTTACTTTTGAAGTTATTGTTTGTGACTAAATAAACAACAATAATTTAATGTCGAGATTAAATTTATAATTTGTATAAAAATGTCTCGTTTTTATACATGGAACAAAAGAAAATGAAATCCTTTTTAGTAAGCTTAGATCGTTGGTTCAAATGTTGATTACGAGCTTGTTTGGAAGGTTTACTACAAGCCAGGCTGCAACCATTTTATGCACCCAAACACGTAAGCCTGCCACAGTACTGACCATCCGTTCTTCAATCTCAATAAGGGGAAAAAAATGTGTTACTCAAGGATGCCCCTAATTTAATGTTTTTTTTTTTAATTTAATTTGTTTTTTTAATAATTAAATGTTTATTTAAGAAAAAACATATTTTACAAACTGCCCCTTATAACAATCTAACTTGTCAACCAAGCAAGTTGTTGGGCATTGACTAAATATAATTATTTTTATTTAATAGAAAATCCATGGAGTTAGAACAGGAAAAAAAAAACAGATAAAATATAATAAAAATGTCTATTTTCAGCTCCATTTAATTAATGATTTAATTAAATGGGAGAGAAATTTTCATTCAATTTCGGATGGGTCACTGTGGAGCCCCGACCCAACGGGTTAAATGGACACGGGATGGAATGTGAATTTACGAAAATACCCTTGAGACCGTTGGATTGGATTGGACGTAAAGACGTGGAGGTTTCGAGCGAAGAAAACTCCGCCTATATATATCGAACCAGGTCCACCCTCCTCCAGATTCCTTCTTATTTTAGTCTTTGGCGGAATCAATCTTCTATTTTTTATTTTCTACGCTCTCCAAAAACTTCTACATTCCGCACCTAACGCGCTTTCTCTTCTTCTTCCAGGTTTGTTTTTTTTTTTTTTTTCCCTTTTTTTCTTCAATGTTATCATCGCAATCTACGATATTCATGTTTGATCTCTTCAATTTTTGTTTTTCTTTATGTAATTAATCGAATTGTCTTTGTAGGGTTTCTTTTTGTTCTTCAAATTCGCCGTCTGAGTTGGATTTTGGGGGTTTAGAGGTTTATGCGGTTTTGAGGACAATGGGCGACCATCTCGTCCTGTATGTTGATCATTTGATTCGACCGGTTGCTCCTGTTCAATCTGTGGCCGAGCCGGTTGACCCTGTTCCTTCTGCACCGCGTGAAGGTGTAGTTGACTCGGCTGCGGCTGGTCCTTCGTGTTCGACTGCAACTGCGGATCATCCGACGGTGGAGCAGGATGCACCTAATGAGGAGGAGCCTCTGATTCAGGTAGCAGAGTGCCGCATTTGTCAGGAAGAAGACGGTATCAATAATTTAGAAACTCCCTGCGCATGTAGTGGTAGTCTTAAGGTAATTGACGCCTTGACCCCCTCTTCCTTTATTAATGTGCTCAAGACTTTTTATTTGCGTTGTATATGTGTTTGCTGTTGCTGCTGAATTGGATGAGAGATCCGTCTGAATTTTTTAGTGTCTTGTCGAGAATTGTCGAGAATTCATTAGTTTTATTCACAGCTTGGTTAATTTTATATTTTTCTATAATTTTTTCCTCGATGCTTTGTTTTTTACTTTTTAAAATTCATCTCCTATCCAATAGCCTGGTGATAAAAGAACACTTCTTTTGCCTCAACTTTTTTGTTTGTGTCAATTTGTACGTTCGACGGGAAACTTTATGGACTGGTATGTGGTGCATCTGAGTTATAATGTGGCTTGATAAAACTTGACAAGAAGCATGACCACCATGCATGGTGTCAGTGATCTTGAACTCTAATGTTTTTTTTTTTTCAGAATGTAACTAAAGTAGGTTAGGCTATTTGAATTGACCAATATGAACCCATGTGGTAAAACTTACGAAGTTAATGGTTTATTAACCTTTTGCACGTTTCTGATTAATGGTTTTTTTTTTTTTTTTTTTTTTTTTTTTTTTTTTTTTTTTTTTTTTTTTTTTTTTT